TACCATGATGCTATACACCGACTATCACGAGCCTAGGTCGAGCCGATTAGATTTGTGCCGCAATTCTGCATTTCCTCCCTATACCTTAAGTTAAGGACGTGAATGTTCCCCCTTCTTTTACACCTCTTGACCTTTGACCCCCAGCTTCGACATCCCAACTCGTTTTCGGATTATCCCCCGTCCCGACTTTCGAATCCGTACGTCGAGCCGTTTATATTTGTGCCCAACTGTTGACGGACGGACGCACGCACGCACGCACGCTCATGCGATTCTACAAGCTGCATCTGACTACGTCAGATGAGCTAAAAACCCATGGCTCCATGACAGGTTTAACTAATAATGCATTGCCCTTTAATGGCATATGCCCATGCTTTAGTTGTAACGTGTGTAACAGCATACACTCATACAATTTTCAACCAGAGCAAGGAATTATACCAACCTGTTTTTCACGCTATGTGTCCGCTTTTCCTTTCAGGCGACAAGGAAATAACATTAGCAGAATGAACACGATGCACATAGAATATCTGCTGAACAGGGGCTACAGGCAACTAGCTGTACTGAAGCGTGGTGCCACAACTACAGTGAGCTCTTTCACCAGAAAGGACTAACTTGCAAAGAATAGAGATATTCAATCATGAATTCTAGCAGCATGTGAAGTAACAGCTGATGCAGTATAGCAAGAAAGCTATGAGAGAACCTTCTGTGCATTACTAGGATACCTGCAACACTGTGGTAAAGCTGGCCTACTTAGTAAGGTACGACTCAAGCTTTACATGGCAGAGGAAAAGTCGGACAGCGCGGACTGGGATCCGTGCGCAAACCTGCACCTCCAGCTGGCCGAGATCGAAATGCTGGAAAGCATGTTCCCGAATCCGGGCGAGTTCGAATTCTCCGACCCGGCGGCCGTCGCCGACTGCCAGCAGGTGGCAGCAGGGGAGACCCTCCCCTACGCGCTCCCTGGCCTCGAGTTCTACGTCCGTCTCAAACTCGAGCGAGTCGAAAAACCTCTGGAGCTTCTCGTCAGCTTCCCGCACGAGTACCCGTCGCGCGCGCCTCCGGAGTTCTACGCTCGCTGGTCGCCCCTCGCCAACGACAAGCACCGGCAGCTAAACGAGGACCTCCGCGCGCACGCCGGCGCCACCTACGAGCGAGATCTGTGCGTCGTGCAGACGACGCAGTGGCTGCAGGAGCACGCACCCGCGTACCTGTCTGTCGCGATTCGCGTCGATGCGGCGGCGGCCCGGACACGCGGCCCCGTCGCGTTCAAGCGGCTGTGGATCTACAGTCACCACATCTACAGCAAGGTGAAGCGGCGCGACATGCTCGACCTCGCGTCCGAGCTGCGGCTCACCGGCTTCACGTTGCCGGGGAAACCGGGAGTCGTCTGCGTCGAGGGATGTTGTGCGGACGTCGACGACTTCTGGAGCCGCGTGCGCAACTGGACGTGGAAACGCATCAGCGCGAAGCGAGAGGAGACCTGCGCCGTCACGGGATACGACGACGTCGACCGGCTGCGCAAGTTCGAGAACTTCGAGGAAAAGGCGTTCAACGTCCGGAAGCAGTACAGCAGGGAGTTCACGCAGGACCTGGGCTTGTTCTACAAGTTTCTCGAAGAGAAGGACCTGGGCTTCGTCTTCAAGGACTTTTTCGGGGTCGACGGAAAGCAGTCGTAGCGCGGCATATTTTTGGTGGTGCTTCGTACGATGGGATTTTACATTTATACGCATTTTCATCATGTGTAAGATGAAAACTGGCAATCAAATATGTAATAAATAATAATTTATCAAGAATTTTATTTATTAGATTAATTTTTTTCTTGCCTAAGTAGTAGAAAACTAATTTCCTTAATCAAATACGCCATATACCAGGATATGTACATAAAGTTCAACAAACCTTATGCATTACCTTTCAGCGAGCATTTCAGATCTGGAATATACTTGTTTATTTGTCATGATATACAACGTCTAGTATGATACATATATACAGGTTCAAACATATAGGTTATATTGAATATGGTTTACACACTAAATAGTTTTTGTATTTCATCTTAATAATACTCTAACACATACGTAGCACATATTGTAGCACATTTAAAAGTAAATACATAAACAAACATTGGGGTAATTGTAAAGAGGAATAACGAAATGAAATGTCTATTAATTAAAAAAATTACATTGATAAACACCCAAAGCTAATATATATTCTATAGGTACGATTACCCCATCAATAAGTGAGGTAGGAATTATTGTTGAATTGGCACAAAAGTTTTCATGTAAATACAACAAAAATTGAACAAGCTACTTAGAATGTAGAAATTGGGATGATACTGAAATGGCCACATCTTTAAGAATGATTTCAATACGGATATAATTTAGCACTAATTATTACTTTCAACAACTTGTGTATAAGTTACAATAGAAAATAAGTACGCAAAATCGCAAATCCTCAAAGCTAATTATATAGTCACAGATATACATCAGTTATCCTCATTTGGTGTCCATACAAATGCACCAGCCAAAATAAAGATGCCAAGCTGTAATATGATCCCCAGTCTGTATCTACACTTGCACTTATGTGTGCATGACTATGCGTTGTAAATCAGCATCTTGTACAATGTGCTCCAATTGTGAAACTTAGCTTCTATACTACAAACATAATGGTGAGAAAGATGACAAAACCGGAAAAAAAGAAACGGCAAAGAATAATGTCATTATGAAGGGACGAGTCTGCCTCTAAACCAGATCTAATATCAAACCATTTGGTCAACCAACCCTGTCGGTTACCCCAGCCTCTTAAATCAATTGCTACTAAATCACATGAATCCTTAGTGACATTTTTTCAGGAGTATTCCAGCAAAACCTATCACACATACATGTTGCAGAAAAAAAAATGTTATCAACATCTTGAATATATTGCACCCCGTATTAAAATCAGGCAAGTACAGGTATGCTTAGTGATAATACTGATAAAGGCATTCTTGACATGATTAACTATACATACACTTGCACAGAGCATTGGTGAAATCTCAGAAAAACCTGTTAACCTCTTACACTCCCTAGACTGTATTATGTTGGTCGATATTCGTCCACGCCTTGCGTTTTTATATCAAAAATGGAGTGCATTACCAATATTAAAGTAACGAATCACGGATAGTTTGGCTGAGAGGGTCTATGTCCCCCAGGGTACTGCCGGAACGTACCCTGGTACTATCTAATATGCCGGACCGTACCTCGCCTACTCCACTAACGAGTCTAGGGAGTCGCCTACGCCTACTCCCTAACCATATCAGATAGTTACCAGGGTACGTTCCGGCAGTACCCTGGGGGACATAGACCCTATGACTCCGCAAATGTGTTTTCGCACCTGCTAAACTAATACGGGTTGCTAAACTAGGCTTGGACCTAAGTAACTATAAGTCCTACCTCTACTTCCTACGCTACTCTTTGACGGTGCAAACTTTTGATCGAATCAGTGAAATGTGGATAGTACTTAATGTTGTTTGCGGCATCCATCAATATTTTGGCTGGAGTAGAGACATTCTCACACAATCCAGCAATCATTTGATTTAGATGTGAACAATCTCATTTGTTCCAGCTATGGAAACCTACATTATAGACATAATATGATTATGAAATATTGGCAGATGACATTACACTGGGGCTTAACCTGTAATTTGACCTCGATAACTCAATTGATGGATGATAGGTTTAAGGATTATGACCTAGTTTGCATTATAAAATTGTTCTCGCGATCATGCTACAGACATCCTGCAGTATGATAGACCTATAAAAAAAATTACATTCCCTTTGACCAAATAAGTTCACCCTACTTTCACGGCCCCACCCCTACCCACATATAATATATATAACCACAGCTACTGCTTATGGTTACTAATTTTATATCATTTTCTCAAGCTTAACACAGAGTATTGAGCAGCTAGCGTTCATATATGATATGAAAATGTCATATATCTCATTTGAATGTGTGTGCGTGCGTGCGTGCGTGCGCGTGCATGCGTGCGTAAAAGCAGTACATATACTGAATGATTTTGTCTATTATGCAGGACCAAGCAAATTCCCACTCATACCATCGTATAATAGCTACATACAGTTATGAATTTATCATATTGTAATGCACACTATATCCTAAGCTCACAATGTTCACTGTTGATTCAGATATACATGCCAAACACTCCTGCTCAGGACGAGGCCTACAATTTTGTATGTACAATAACAGCATTCTCGAATACCTCATAATAAATACTCATTGGGTATACAATTACAACTGCAGGAAGAATGAGTAAAAAGCACACAACAGTGAGGCACGTAGAGGCCGCGTTTACGTACACATAAATGCTGGTTGAAATCTGCCGTGCAACCTGCACACATGCAGTTTCAATGCCTATCATTGAGCAATGAGCTGTGATGACACTGAATCACCGGTAATCACAAATGCAAAGCTAACGTCTTCCCATGTTTATTTCACTGATCGAGCTGCTGTCCATTGGTCATGTCCAACAGTATAACGCCCAGTCTTTCTGTGTATGTGCATTCTCTTTTCCCGCTCTCTCTCTCTCTCTCTCTCTCTCTCTCTCTCTCTCTCTCTCTCTCTCTCTCTCCTCTCCCTCTCTCGTCTCTATCTATTCTTTCTCTTCTCTCTCCTTCTGTCTCCATGTCTATTTATCTATTTCTCTATGTCTCTCTCTCTCTCCTCTCTCTCCTCTCTCTCTCTCTCTCCCCCTCGTCCCTCTCCTCTCTCTATCTATCTATCTAATCCTTCTCTCCATCTCTCTCTCTCTCTCCTCTCTCTCTCTTCTCCTCTCTCTCTCTCTCAGTCTCTCTCCTCCTCTCTTCTCTCTCTCTCTCTTCTCTCTCTCTCTCTCTCTCTCCGTCGCTCGCTACTCTCTCTCACACTATCTCAATCTCTATTTCTTACTGAGCATTGAACACATTGCAATATACACATAATGCTGCACAAAATTCTATACATGCCATGTTCATATAATTTTAAACCTACTTACAGAATAAACACAGCTGAATGGTATATTCAACATAAAAATAAAATAATCAAAATACTAGACCACTATAGTATACACACTATTCTCTGACAGTACTTTCCTGCTACCTTGTCACGAAACCTGACCCTCACATGCTTGATACTGTACGCTCTCACATGCGTCCTCACTCTGAAAGCGTTTGGCTAACGTCCCTGAATTGCTGACTGTGGTATCGATGCAGCCGGCCTTGGTGGGGTGGGGTGCCGTAGCTCTGGCTCCACAGGCCAGGGTAGCCGCCGACGCTACCGTACGACAGCTGCGAGGCCTGATACATCAAGGCACTGTTGACAGAGTGCGACGAGGGCGACGTGGCTAACGCAGCGTCGTGCGACCAGCTGCAAGATAACAAATGGTGTGCGGTGGTTGTCGTGCGCACTCGACACATTGTTTCGAGCAGGGATGGGAGCTCGTATCCAGATCTTCTTATCTCGATACGTAAACTGGTATTAAGCTGGGTTTACACTACCGACTTTATCTTGGTGAATTGGCGAAGTGGACCAACTTCCCAACTACATAGCCGACAATCGACAGTGTAAACGCAAAAGTTGCGCGACCAAGCGATCGATAGCTACTAGTTGGGAGATTAGAGCATGTTCTATTTTCGCCAACTCGGAATTGCCGAATTGCAAAATTGGTCCAACTCGCCAATTCGCCAACGTAAAGACGGTAGTGTAAACCCAGCTTTACATTGTACATGTCAGTAAGGTTGTCTTCCACTATCTAGGACTGGTAAACTTTGACCCAACCTCATCCAACTTCGACCATTCAGAGAAGTGCGCTGAATGTCATGTGCTCAATCAGAACATAGTCGAGTGCTATTAAACCTGACGCTGAGTCTTTTTCCAGCGCGAAAACCTCAAAGAGCATGTCTAGCCAGTAGGTCGTCTAATATGCTCAATCGCAAGTGCAAACGTAGACAGACATCGCACCTTTAATATAGATTATGATGCATAGTTGCTGTACGGTAACTTACCTAGGTGTTCCTGACTGGGGGACCAGACTCTCCTCACTGTCATAACGGCGCGGATTGTCGAAGAAATACGCCCTTGAGCCAAAACTCCGAGACGAAACAATTTCCGTCGCTCTCTATTGCGATGGAAATGAAGCTAGTTATGTTAGGTAATGAGTAAGGGAATTAAATACATCACTGCATTTTCATTATATTGCAACAGGGAGCCTGACAAACAGGTGGTTTAAGAATTACACAAACAAATTAAAGTCCGAGAACGAGAGAGAAACATGGCAGTGAAGTTTTGATAGTTTTGATGGATTTGCACAGTTTAATTGAATAATAACTGTTAAACCTTACCAAGGTTCCTTCTGGGCTTCTAACTCTGAAAAATATTATCACAATAAGTGTCGGTAGGAACTCCCAGATGAATAGGATTACGCCGAAAACAACATACACGTAAGTTGGATCTTGACCAACCAAGTCTCCCTGCAATAGAAAAAAGTGGACTTATAATAACAACTAGCAGTTGCTGCATGCAAGTACACAATCTACTCAACGAGAATGACACCAAGATAACTCAGAAAAATAACTACAAAAAACATTTCCCGTAAAACTACTGCTAAATCAGTAAAGAATTCTGTTAGGATATTATTGAACAGTTTTTATAATAATAAGCATGTCTTCCACTGAAACTGTTAACATACTGAATGTGGGATGAAGTACAAAAAGCCAGTTGCTTACCTGGTCAGACACATTTGACCAACTATACCCAAAGTTGGGCAGACGGCTATCATGAGAAAGCACTACAAGCATATTGTAGGCTGCCCTGGACGTGTACAGTAGTATGATAAACACACCTGCCGTCATTGCTTGACACTTGGTGGTACCCTGTGAACGACCAGATGCATATTCAATGGTAATCAAAAATGATGAAACCATATATTCACTTGCATACAACACTGCAGGATTTGTAATTATGTATGTGGCCACCTTCTCATAAAGCTTGCACAAAGCTTTTTGTAGATAGACAATACGATACTGAATATACTTGTGCATGTATGTGTGCATGCATACATGCACGTATGCATTGTGTCTGCATTTTTAGGAAAGACATGTACACTGGCAGGGTTTGAAATTAAGGGCCACAAGCAGCAGTTTTGCTACCTACTACATGGGTCAGTTTGCTGCCTGCTCTCAATGTTGGCAGCGAGTGCTTGCTGCCAAGAATGCTTCTAATAAACCATGGTAAAAGCAGCAATGATTTTGCCTGGGCGAAGAAATTCGCTGCCTTCTTTTTTCTCGTGCAGCAAGCAGTTGCTGTCTAGTAAAAAAATATTTTCTAACCCTGACTTGTACATTGAACCAGGTTCTTCATCTGTCTGTATCTGATTTCTCACATTTTTTAAATAGAACATGCTTGCACCCCCAAACTCACTACAATTAACCTGATTTCCTCAAGAAGCAATGAGCCCAACTCTTACAAGTACACTGACCGATTCATCTACCCATGTATCTATCTGTCTGTTCATCTGTCTTTCTGTCTGTCCATCTGTCCGTCAACCAATCCATCCATCCAGCAGGCCTGTTTTAACTTTTAACTTACTCTTGCTTCTAGCAGCAGGTTCGACGATGCGGTTTTAGTGAGCTTGTATAAGGAAATCGACAAGAGCACTCCGTATGTGATGAACAAGCCATCGTTCACTATCACGCGTAGGTAGAACAGGGCTATCGGAACAGACTGGTGAATATCCTGCTGATACGTCTTCGTGACCACCGCACACACAATGTTGACGATGGTGAAGACAAGCATAGCCACCACCAGACTGATGTAAAATGGTTTCCTGACAATAAAAACATAAAAGCCACTTGCACTCAACAACTCAATGTTATAAAATATAAACATATTTATTTATTGTTATGATTACTACTCTCACTATTTTATATTTGTTCACACTTCATAAGAAATTATTTGTGTAGCAATGATAAGGAGTCAATCATTAGTTAGTTGCATTTAATCAGAGCTATCACCTTGAATCAATATTTACTTAAGGATACTCTCAACCTTTTGCACGGGTATTGCTCTAATGAAGATTAAACGTTTCTTGACAAATGAATCGAATCAATCACTTGTTTTATTTATAGAGGAGATATATCTCTATGCTCAAGGCAAAAAATTTACATGAAATTTCCAGCACCTAATTATGTTACCACAAAAAAAATTTAATTTGTATGTAAAAATGGTATTTTGGATATTTCTCAATTACCAGAAAAAGTGAGAATACAAAATTTTTGCCACATGTTAAGCACAATATGTACCAAAATAGTGCATCAGGATTTTTATTTTTACCAAAAAAAATTAAAAAAACTGCCTAAAATTCAAGTCGCACGTTTGAATTAAAAAATTTTGCGAATAAAGAGACATAACTCGGCACTTAATAACAGTCCCTGACGCACTTTTTTACAGCAATATGTTACCATTAAAACGAGTGTAAAATTAAATTATTCCGAGTTGTAATCACAGAGAAATATCCATTTATACATCGACTACTAAGTCAGAAATTGGAACGAAGAAATCAGCGTTTTTCTGACGTCAGCCGCGGCTCACTACACATGTATGCGGACAAGCAAAACGCTCTGACAGTTCACATGTACCGTTATATGAAGAAATGAGCACGTACACAGGTGGCACATAGTCTTAGCCATCGAATAAAGTTGAAAATGAAAAATCGGTAACATTTTTTCCTAAAACCTTGAGAGTATCCAACCTAGACATATATACCTATACATATATACTTGGCATGAAGGTGATACCTACTTGTATTTACTTGGCTCATATCGTGCCTTAGCTCTGAACACCATCTGCAAATAATAACATGACCTAGATATGAAGAACTTTGTATGCTATGCTATCGCTGTTGTGCCCAAACATGGAATCTTGCAAAAACTTGGAATTTCAGCGCATCCGCAGTTTGGGCAACCAATCTTGAGATTGGGCAAACAGAGGTAAACAGAGCTTACACAAACATATGATTATTAGGATTTCAAATGTTATATCATAACTATAAGGTCGTATACCTTCTTTCCTCAATGTGTTTGGCACCTTTGTATAAATATTAAATGATTATAATAAATAATTGGATAAATATGAGATAAATCTCTTCCTAGTTTGCACCACGCACACCACACATTCGCTATAAGCGGTTGTTTAATCACCGACTGTTTTCAGTTTGCCAAATCTTGAGATTGGTCAGCCAAACTAGGGAATCTGCAGTTTGGGCAGCACAATCGCTACACAATCTCGAGATTGTGCAGATTCCAAGTTTGGGTACGACATCGCTAAACAAAGTTCAGACCAGAGCAGGCAGCTATCTGGTAGCATAACTTCATCTTGTAATGTCGAGGCCAATCTTTCTTTTTTTGTGGGGCTCAAACTTTTAGGCAATAATAATCTGCTTCATCCAGGAAATGAGGGGTGTCCCCATTGGCACATTGTGGAATGTTGTGCCAGCTGCACGACCTCAATACGGGTTCTTTGCCACTTTTATGCCAGAAAAAATAACTAAAGAGTCGGCCCAAGGATAGAGAACATGGGTCCCAATAAAACCAATGTACCTAACCCTAACCCTATCCCTAATCCTAACCCTAACCACAACCCTAACCTATTAATATTATATTGATATAATATTATATTTATATTGATGTAAATGACATTGGTTTTATTGGGACCCATGTTCTCTATCCTTGAACCAAACAGTCTAATATCTGTCTGCTGATGAAGGGCGTGCTCTGATTTGTGGAAAGCGCATCAACTTAGGTCAGGGGTCAGTGAGGTCCGCAGGTTTCAGTGTGGTGAACTCAGAGCCATATATCTGGAGACACTCAAACATTACTGAAACTGATGTGAGAACAGTTCCTGCAACCGTTCAACTAAGTAATTACCACGTCAATTTTGTACCTTTTAACCAAAAATGATAACATTAACTTTTATTTGTAGTACTACTACTAGTAATTTCCTGTTTACCTGTGTGAAGAACTCTACCAACAAGCATAGCGTGAGGAATTGCAGGCACACTGGAAGGCAGTAAAGTAGCCAGTACCAGAATGTGCCCAAATTGTTTGCCAAAATCACATTGCTCGATTCAAAATAAAAACAGAATAGTGTAGTTCGCAGTCCTGACCACACTAAACACAGGAATAGAAAAATACTTTGGTAGCTTAGTCTCTTGTGTCTGTAGTAGAGTATCAGAAATAACTGTGTCAACACTGCGACAAACAACAATGCGTACAGTGTCGTGTAAACTGCAGACAGACTGAGTCTAACACTTGGTATGACTGCCGGAACAATAAACGAAGTTGGCTCCATATCTTGGACTAATGACGGAAGAGGAGTAACCTCTTCCACATCAATCTGGGTCATCTTCATCATACACAATCATAAAACGCCCAACTACCTCATCATAAACAAGGAGCTAAATGAATGAGTCACTGATGCGTCGTCACATAGTTATTTAGCGATTGATTCGTCACAATATTATTAACAAGAAAGAATATTATACCGCTGTTTTCTGTAGTATACTATTTTAATTAAACTTCTGATAATGATTTTGTCATTATTATTTGTATGATAAACAGTAAGAACAGCTGAGCTAATATTAACGTTAATTATCCGTGTACTGAATCAAATATATTTTAACACAAGAACAGCACCTACATAGTTTACATCATGGAGGACAAATTCAGAGATAAACCTCAAAAATCACAAAGGTTATCTCATCATCTCCTCAATAAACACCACGAGATTTAAATTTAGTTTTAATAACTCTGGTTCAGCTGTATAGTTATTACAGAACATGTACAATACTTTACCACTGTTACTGACGCGGCCAGGAGCTTGCATTTGACGATGATTTGACATTTGTTGTGTTGCGTTTTGCAAACTCAGTTGTCACTTTCATTGACATTGACAATTGACATTGACATTGACAATTGCATTGCCAATTTAAGAGCAGTGCGCCGTCTTGCGCGCTCTCTCTCTCTCTCTCTCTCTCTCTCTCTCTCTCTCTCTCTCTCTCTCTCTCTCTCTCTCTCTCTCTCTCTCTCTCTCTCTCTCTCTCTCTCTCTCTCTCTCTCTCTCTCTGTCTCTCTCGCTCTCTCTCTCTCTCTCTCTCTCTCTTTCTCTCTCTCTCTCCATGTGTTTGTGCGTGCGTGTGTGCACCTAATATTATTATTACAGTAATCACTGCTGGTGACGGTGTGTCAAATGTCTGTATCTAGGTACTAGCTCTATAAGTATAACTATAACTATAGCCCGGCTTCGCTCTGCCGCAGGAATGAACCTGCGGCGGAGCGAAGCCGGGCTATAGTTCTAGAGCTAGTACCTAGATAGGGCGCAAATCTACTTTAGGCACTTTAGGTATCACGAAGTGGTGCACAGATTTCTGTGTATCATCAACTGATGCACAGACTTTCCGTATATCAAGGAATGATGCAAAAATCTTAACCCTAACCCTAAGTCATAAAGTATAACTTTAGGTATCACGAAGTGTGTTAGGGTTAGGGTTAGGGTTTTTGCATCATTTCTTGATATACGGAAAGTCTGTGCATAAGTTGATGATACACAGAAATCTGTGCATCACTTCGTGATACCTAAAGTGGATTTGCACCCCTAGATAGTTAGTGGTAGCTTATATAAGTTATATGATAATGTGTACTTAAAATTATATTTTTTGACAGCGATGGCGACTCTAAATGGTTGGATGCACACAGCGATCCACTGGCGGCTTTGTATTCATTCACACAGTGTATGACACTGGCAGACTTACATGGGGACGGTGAACATAAGTTAGTCATTGCTGATCTGGGAACAGGAGCATATAATATGAAGTTGAAAGTTTACAAAGGTATGTGTAGTCATAGCTCTAGAACTATAGCCCTTCGCTCTGCCACAGGCGGAGTGTGGCAGAGCGAAAGGCTGTAGCGAAGTTTATGCGGCGAAGCGAAGGTCTGTAGTTCTAGAGCTAGTGTAGTCAGTACTTACGTACTGTATAATACTTGAGAATTTATTATGCTATTCAGCCAGACAGTGCTTAATTCTGCTTGAATACGTGTACCTAATTGGAATAAATAATCGTGTAGCATAAAAGCATCTAACAAACATATATAGACCTTTATATATTTATTAGTTACTTGTAGACCATTCTATGACATTTGTATTTCTGATAGTTACAGCTTACAGAAGTTGTACTGATCTTGCATCTTTGAATTGTGGTGCAACGAACTAGTGCTCTTGAAAGCTATGATGCAAATTTAATTGCCCAACCCTGATAACTGCAGGGACGAGTCTGATGTCAGAAAACACGATCATTGACCTACCTACCGGGGTTGTTACTTTCCTCATGGATACAGATGAACCACGGACACCAGGTGTGGATGAACGATTAATATATGTTGAGGATGATGGTGTCCATTACGGTTTCCAGCTATTGAAATTGTGTATAATTATAATAATTTATGACTTGCAATGTTTTAATTTAATAAGGGAATATTCCTCGAGTTAGATATCAGTGAAAACATCCTTATGTGATAGCAATGTTTTTTTTATTAAACGTGATATCTTTAATGCAGCAATTGCAGTGGCATCAGGGTCATACATATACATCTACAAGAATATACGTCCATATTTCAAGTTCACTCTGCCCCCACTGCCTGTAAATGCTACAGAAAAGGATATTTGGGACCAAGTGAGAGAGGTAATCACTTGTGAATAGCCATGCTGTCAAATATGTGAAGTTATGTGAAGTGCACCTCATTAGCTGAACCTTTGTCAGATATGTACCTACCTCTACCTTGGCATTTGGTGGCATCAATGCCCGTAAAACAATTTGAGTTGGGGTGGGGGACTTGGAAGGCTTTAAAGCATTAACAATATAGACTAATGGTTATATAAGGATGCTAATATTGTCTATGAAATATTTCAGGATAAAATAGATATAAAAACAGTGAAGGAGCTACTAGATGGAATAAGGTACGGATTCGGTGATTAAATCGTAAAACATTAATAATTATATACATAAAAGGACTTGTTTTTTTGTTCACCAGTAAGGTATGATTGAATTTATGGTTTTAAATTTCATGATTATTCTCAATATCTATTTTTAGTTGCCACATGCTATTCCTGTTGCATTTTCATTCTTTATGGAATATAAGTGATGAATCTTTAAAGCAGTTAATCCCACAGCATGCTAAAATAAGTTTCAAGGGCCAGTATCATGCAATAATTTTAATGTATTTACAGAAGTGAAGTTACAGAGAGTGGGTTAACAACCAGAACGCAACGGTAGGTTTACAAATTTTCTATTTTCATGCAATCTTTGTGTTGCCATTGGTAGTAGCATCTCACAGTACCGGTGCCATACGTACAGGTATCTCATGCTTGTATCTACAACTTGTCACATAGCATCTCACGCTCCCGATGCCGTCCCTATAGGTTTCTCTCACTCGCATCCACAACTTCTCACCTAGCATCTCACGCTCCATTCGCTACAGGTTTCTCATGCTGGCCCCCGGGGATGTGGAGGAGTTTGTGAGTCAGCACAAGCACTCGCCGCTGAAGCGACAGACGGTGATCACGTGCCTCGACACGCTGCGCAAGTCAATGGCCGACGATGACGCAGTCAGCTGCCTCGTGCTGGGCAGCGAGAATCGCGAGATCTACGTGCTCGACCCCGAAGCCTTCACCGTGCTCAGCATGGTACGCGGCCACCGCACGCGCGCTCCCGCTGACTCTGGCTATTCACGGTGTATTGGGGCCGGGCAAGAATTTCGCAGTGCTACCGACGACAAGTGTTTGTGGTGGTGTGTGGTGGTGGTGTGGTGGTCTGCTGTTGTGGTGGTGTGCGGTTACTTGCAGTGGTTCGTTGAAGATTGGAAGATATCTGCGTTATTAAACTGTCGTGGCGAAAAAATGGGTGCCTGTATAGCTAAATCGATCGTTAGTCTGCCATCTTTTTTATTGAACTGCTGATGTAATCTTCTTGTGAGTGTCTTGTGACTCATTAGCAGTTGCCAGCGATCATTGAATTGTGACATAAGAAATATAATTGAGTATATCATGTGAGCGACAGTGTGTGGGGGTATATTATCCAGATAGGAGTGGAAATATTCCATCGTTAGATATTCGTAGTAATGCATCAGTCACTGTGATACTGTGTATTCCAGATACTAACATAAGTTCTTTGCAAATTGTTGCAGCTGCAAATACCTAGTGTCCCGGTGTTTCTGAGCGTTTCTGGCCTTTTTGATGTGGAATTCAGAATCATTGCTGCGTGCAGGGATGGGAATCTGTACACTGTAAAAAGGTAATTCTCTTATACTCATCTCATTAAAAGCAAATAATGGCTGTGTTATTTAATTTGGATCTGATTAGGTCAAGTCCAAGCGGTACGGTTTGCGCACGTTACGTATGGGACATTCAGAAAGTTTAACCCTCTGAAAAGCAATTAAGATAGCCATAGATTTCACTGTCTTTTAATCCAATGTTGGACATCTGCAAGGCGAATACCTACAAGAATTTATATGTTATTTGTCTTTTGGATGATTATGTAATTAAGAAAACATGGTGTGTTACGTATGGGACCACAAGGGAATCTTCCCCTTCCAAGGACTTGCCCTCGAGCTTAATATACAGTTCCCGAGAGAACCCCCTTTTGAGGTTCTTATACTGTCTTTCTATGTTGTTATTCTGCATATTTGTTTCGTATTGCAGGGACACAACTGTGGTAAAACCTAGTGCAGAGCTGAACACTCAGCCGGTGGGTATGGTACGGATTAACAAGAATGTAGTCGTTGGATGCATGGACCAAACTCTGAGGTGTTACACCACCAAGGTACCACACACACACACAAATTCCGTTCAGGAAAACCACTATGACAACTCAACGACAAACAAATAACAACGGCAAATTATGCCAAGGTGGCCAGAAAGACTGTGTGAATCATTAAACAAAAGAAAATGCAGGCTTGTTGTGTAACCATCTTGGGCTGTTGCTGCAGAAGTGTTTATTCATGCAGTGTACATGGTGTGCATGTGAAAAACTTTTGCGTGTGCTGTTAGCTCATGCTGGGAAAAGCACACGTTGCCATTTTTTGTGGCTCCATAGAGATATGGGATACATCATCTAAGTTTCCTGATATTAGGGAAAGAAGCTGTGGACTGTGCAAACCCCTGCACCGATCACCACCATAGAACTGATGGACCACCAGAGACACGGATTCAAGGCCGTACTGGTTGCGCTAACGAACTGCCAGGTGATGTCATTTATCTAGTCGGCATAGCGGTCGTCACTGTCTTAATATATAGTCATTAATTCCGGAGAAAGGGATTCTCGCGATGTGTTGTGAATTTATAGCAAGATAAAGCTACAATGTCGCTACCTCAAGAATACATACCTACTTTGATACTTCCTAAAAAAATCTAACTTATCTTATCATTCAGATTTTTTATTTTAGCCAGATCCCTAAACTTGAAATCTAACATCACTGTAAAATATTTACTACCAGTCTATATATTCCAGTTGTTATCAATCGTTTCTTTGTTGATAACATAGCTGTATAATATCAGGAAATCTGCGAACCAATTATAACTATGTGAGTTTATGAGTTTTTGTTACTCTATGTTCTCTTTGTTACTGACATTAACATTTGTAAGCAGGAGTTTGACGAAGAATTTGTTGTGTTACAGGTTCATTTGTACAAGGACAAATATCTAGTCAATGTCATAACGACTGACAGTGTCATAACAGGAATGAAATTTGGACGCTATGGCAGGGAAGATAGCACACTGATAATGATAAACAAAGGTACTCCAAAATTATTCTTATATCTATTAGAATGTGCTACCAAACAATTCAGTTCGTTTAGCTAAACTAGTAGTTTGTGCTTAAACTAATCTTCTAGCTACATTTGCTCATAAATTATACGTATCTATAGATATACATAATTTTATACATATATAATAAATTATATAATATATATGCTACAATATATATATAACTATACAGTCCGACCTCCTTTATCCGGCCATGTCGGGACCGGCACCCATCCGGATATTGGATTTGGCCGGATATTGTTTGAGCATAACTCTCCAGCATTTCTATGCAGTTCAGTAGGGTTTATGCATGTGATAATGTATTTACTCGTTGCTATGATTATTTGTAACAAACTGTCGTGTTTTATGGTTTATATGAAATGGAAATAAAATGAAAGAAAACAGAAATTTTACCGGAGGCATAGCGGACACGAGCGGACAACACACACACACACGTGCGCGCGTGCACACACGCAAACATACGTACGGTTGGTACATCGCGCATGTTTTGAGCGAGTTTTAAGCGAGATTTTTTAGGTGGAAATGAATGAAAACGGAGAATATACACTGTGAGATCACGGCCGGTTAATAGAGACTTCCGGATAACGGATGGCCGGATAAAGGAGGTGGGACTGTATATATATATATATATATATATTTATTTATTTATTTGTTTATTGCACCATATACAGGGTGCGAAATTAACGCGAGGCCAGAGTCAAATACTCCCTGATTTGACATATGCAGGAGTCCGTGTGACTCCCTGGAAATTCTGCTATACTAACTAGTTCGTTCCAGTGCACGGCCTTGCGGAATTACCGTATTTTTTCAGCAAATCTTTAATTTGGAACTTCAGATTACTCATTTTGCTGCGGACTCTCTCTTTTTGAGGGCAAGGAGTCCGTTGGACTCCCTTGTTGAAAAGTTAATTTCTACCCCTGATATATATGCTGTTTAGAAACTGCATTTAAGCATGTTCACTTACTTTTAGGTGGTGGTTTGCTGATAAAGATTTTGAAGAGAACTGCACAGTTTGAAGAGGGTGCAATGGTAGCCGGTCCACCTCCTGCACAAGCACTGAAGCTCAATGTTCCAAAGAAAACCAAGTTGTTTGTCGACCAGACAATGCGAGAGCGAGAAAGTTCCGTCGGTGAGTGGCAGACGGTGATTGAACAGAAAGATTCATATGTGTAAAACTGATCATGAGACTGTGACAAACGAAAGTTTGAACGGTTCGTTGAAACAGCATGAAACGTTCGAAGATGGTGAAATAGTATATATTGGTAGGTTTGGTGTTCCATTATTTAGGTCTTCATTTAATTCTGTAGATAAAATTCTGTGGATGTAATTTTCTAGAATTCTCTGAGCATGCTCTACACACTCTTATCACTTCCTTTCTGCACAATCCTGTTTCGTGCCATTTTTCTGTGCAATCATGGAAATATAGTTTTTAGAGTTAGTCATTCCAAAAAAGCAACGTATTTTTTACGACTGTTTCTCCATTTCAGTGATGCACAGAATGTTTCAGCACGATCTTTATAGACTGCGACTGAACACTGCTAAATCATACGTTAGCAGCTTGGAAAGCAGCTTGAACCCAATATCAAGTAGTTTATCAGAACCAGTCAAGCTGTCTGCTCAGGTGAATATTGACCGATAAAAGTTCATCATGATCTGATGTTTTGTCAGGGGTCGAAATAAGCGATGGTCCGATGGTCCGGGGCCATCAAATAATCAGGAGGACCATCTGATTTTCAAAGTCAATGGTCCGACGGACCATTGAATATTTTGGTCCCAGTTTCCGGTAATTTTCTTTGACGTTTCCACGTTCCAATATACTATTAAAGTGAATAAACAATTACTGAATCGTTTGATACGAACGAGCTTGGCACTCGCCCGCTTGCCAATGTCGAGTGAAAATAATATCGGGCGAGTAAAAGCTAAAGCTGAGTCGCCCATGTTGGCGAGTAAAAATAATTGTCTAAAACTTTAATCAAATGTTGGTTCCTAACGTTATATATCCAAACATTGATGAAAAACGGTTCTAGCGGTTGTGAAGGGCGGCTATCGCACGGCATCATCAATTTATATTATCAAAGGTCGCTGACAGTCAGCACATCATGGCTGTGTATACGTGCCTGGGGCGGCATATTGATTGATGTACGGGGGGGGGGGGTGCAGGATTGTTTAAAAGTCGCATGGGTCATGTTCATTATAGGGGGTGGGCACCGCTGGGATCAGAGGACGACCGCAAAATTCTTTACTGGAATTGAGGAAAAAGCTGCAATCGGGAATGACACAATGAGCGTGCCGGCACGCAAAAATAAATGTGTGAATTTCATTACGATTTTCCATGTATATATTGTAATATCAGGAGTGTATAATATCGATATATATCTCTATATATAATATATAGATCTATCTCTCTCTCTCTCTCTATATATATATATATATATATCTACCTATCTATCTATCTATTTATATCATATAGATCTCTATATTATACACTCCTGGTAATATAATATGCACTGATCCAAAAGAGGACCGTAACGGCTCATAGATTGCAAGTAAATTTTGTACAGATCTGAAAATAATTAAGCGTCGAGGCCTGTGTTAATTCAGTTGGCAGATAGATTAACTTATTAACTTCATTACTTTGCCTTGGCATTGTACTTGCACAACTTGGCAGAGACTGAGCAGTTCAACCCTCAGCAATTTGAAGTTCATGTTTCTCTTTTTTTAAGTAAGTATATATTTTAGTCTTTGGTCTCCCCAAAAATTTAAATACTCAACTCAAAAGTGATATTTTTGTGATGAAGATGGTTTAATAATGCTGCCTCAGAGTGCATGAAATTGCATCTAAGAGGTGTAATTTCTATAGAAAAATTCTGGGGGAGGGCCCCTGGACCCCGCCTAATCAGGGACCCCTTCCGAACCCACCCCCATAGTCTATTTTTTCACTATTGGTTGACAAGCATTTTTGTTTTAAAATTTGGGCGAGTACAGATTCCGTTTGGGCGAGTTAACTTATTGACTCACTTGTCCAGTTTGGCGAGAGGTTTTTATATTAAAGCTCTAACACTGTAGTTGAATAATTAACCCATTTTATCACCATGTAAAATCTCTTTCTTACGCTTGCAAGCCGCATGATACTTTTATTACTTTTAGAGAACAATTTGAAATTTAGGAGGACCATCTAAATTTCAAACTACACAGGACCATCTCTTTTTTTCTCCTTATTTCTACCCCTGGCTGTAATTAAACTAATTAACAAAATTCTAAACATAATTATTAATCCCATTTTGAATGTAATTCACTATTGCTTGTGATGTGACTCTCACGGTTCCTTATCTTATAATTCGTCCATCTACGATTACCCTGGTGAAAAGTATCTCGGTATGTTATCCAACTAATTTAGTAGGGTTAAATTGTCTGAACACTACCAAGCTACTCTACTCTAAGCATTAACCAATACACATACACCTCACTTTGCCTGAAATATTGATATAACTATAATATCATTCATAGGAAAATATTGTGAATGGCAAAGGTGACAAGAAACTAACATAGACCTAACTAGGTGCAGGGCTGTAGGTGCTGTTAATTAGGTGTTTACCTTATTACGCGGCTATAGTCTTTCTTGTGTGGATTGCAGGTTCAAGGTATGGGTCCTTCCTTCCGTATGAACATCCAGCTGACCAACACGTCCAAGTCAACTCCTTCGAGAAACTGGTTCCTTAGTTTCCAGTACAGCGAAGCCATCTACAAGTTGGAAAAATACTACATTCCAGTAAGCATGTTGTCAAACATATAAAAAGCAATTATTTCTCACACAAGAAAATTGCAGTTGGGTTATCATTGTAGTCTGCTTCTAGTCAAAGTTTTATAATGCCCTTTGTTCAGTAATTTTTCATTAAGTGATGATACACGTTCTGTAAAATGAAGAAATTGACATTCCATGCATCGTCCATTTCTAAGCAGTTTGTGTTCATTCTGGTTTTGCTAGGTTTCCATATTGCTGCCCGGTCTCACGTACAGCTTTGAGACGAGAATCGAGTGCCTCACGGACAAAGGAATCTCAGACCAGATAAAGGTAACCTTTTACTGTAATATTTATGTTGGGTATATTACAGCAATGATTGAAATGTTATACAATTTATGCTCTCGTGGAAAAATTGAGCAAGGACTAAAATACAAAAATGTAAACTCACTTTTTAAGTGAAGTATCATATACTGATGTTTAATTGATATTTACAAAATAAGCTGGACTGGTTTTGATGCACGTTTTTCTCTTCTAAATTAGGTTATGCTGATAAAAGAAGATAGCACCATTCCAGTGATAACAGCTGTGATCAGCATGCCAGTGAGTGAAGGACAGGAGCTAGCATAGCCTAGCATTGGTCTTGCTCATGCTTTGCCAGTAGTGCTCAACCAAAGAACTGTAATATGTATATTATTATACATATGATATATATATAATATATATATATATGTATTTTATATATGTGCATACATAGTATCAGGAGTAAGATAATATAGATCCTATATTATCTTACTCCTGATAGTATCTGGAGATCAGGAGTGTATAATATATATATATATATATATATATATATATATATTATACACTCCTGATAGTGTGCATCCCAATGGTCTCCAATACGTACTCTGTCTTCATCACACAAAGTTTGTATATATCTGCATTGCCATATATCAAGATAGATTCAACAGTGTCATAAATATCAGATACTGCTCAGAAATATCAGAACTCAGTCACGTGACATCATCTAGAGATGTCGAGCATCATATTTTGCGATCATATTTCCTGACAAATTTGCTACCAAATGTTTCAAGGGTTGAACGTGAACAATTGTTGTACTGCCACAGCACCATTCAAAGTTGACTCCGTCCATTGCTTATGCTAATGTTGAGAAATAGAACCTTATCAATGAGTGAATTAATTGATATTGATATACAAAATTTATTATAGTCTGATTAAAATTGTTCAGAATTAGATTATTCAGAATTAAAGAATTCAGATGGCTTGCAAGTGTGGTTGTAAATTTGTGTCGAGTGGGTTTTTTCAGAAGCTACTTCAACATGTTACCAATTGAATGCTCCAGTGTTCCCTGTTTCGAAGGGGCTTATGATTTCTTGTGTACATCTCACCAGGAGTAAGATAATATAGGCATATATTAGACCTATATTATCTTACTCCTGATCTCACTAATATTCTAGTCAGATTGGACGAGTGTTTTTTTGTAGGAATAGTAAGTTATAATACATACTATGAATTCCAACTATGTATTGAATGTATTGCAACGAAAAAAGTAGAAGAATCTCACCTGTGAGGTAGTGATTGAATGCCAGGTGAGGATTTTCTCTTCTCACCTCAATGTATCCGTCCATTTCGATTATAATTGCACAAATATTGAAAGGAGTTATCCAGAAGGATGTCTACATCTAAAATATGCGTTTATATTTGTGTTTGGTTGTTTGTTATGCTACCGGTATGTTTTCCCAATATAGTGCGTGTGCGCGCGCTTGTGTGTGCGCGCGTGCATGCGTACGTGCGCGTGTGTGTACTTCATTTATCTCACCTAGTGCTTGGCATTGGTTTACTGGAAGGGAGTTACTAAACGAATTGGAAGTGAATGGGGGTCATAGTGCTATTATACATTGAGACAGGAGTCTATCAATAATTATTGATAGACTCCTGATTGAGATGCATTCCCGATAGCATTATTGCATTTATCATCAAATCACGTGTAATTTCTTCAAGCGAGCTTTAGCTGGGCGCTATATGTAAATACTCAAGAGTGAATATGTTATGTAAAAATAAACTTACAATTTCTCATTGCGTTTTTCTCATACGTTTTCATCTGTTTCTCATCATACGTTTTCTCATCATACGGTTTCATGCTCATACTCATTCTTCATTCTTCATTCTTCATTCTTCATTCTCATACTCATTCTTCATACTCATACTTCATACTCATCATACGGACTCATCATTCATTTTCTCATCATCATTCTCATCATACGGTTCTCATCATACGTTTTCGCATACGTTCTCATGCGTTTTTCTCATACACCCGAAAACCATTCAATCTGTAAATTTCTTAGTATGTAACTATTTTTCATCACTAAAGGAGCCCTTTAACTTGCACAAGATGCACGTGATTTTAAACAGTTACAGTACCATTACATGACGTCACCACTGACAATTTTAGTGATGGGTCTACGACCCTTTACAACTTGTAGATGTAGATGTAGATATCAATTAGTATCCATATTAGTACATCTATAATTAGTAGACTATATATGGTCCGATTCCGAATACACAGCGCTGATTGATTGACTAATCACCGACGGCCCCACGCGGCGCACGCAGTGCATTGTGGTTAAATAGCTATGGCTGCGCTCTAGCAGAGGTTAGCAGACGCCGATGAAATTAACACTTCAATGAATATTTTTAGTGATGGCTCTGTCTAAAGAGGAGAAAAGTGCGAGGCCCTCGAATGATATGACGATTTGCAACTTGAAATCAGCAGTGAGTGATGAGAACTAGTCTAATAATAATTTTATTTAAATGAGTTAGTCTAACTCTAATATTATCAGGAGATATTATGAATTTCTTTGGTGATGATACGTAGTAGTTATTGATATAATTATATGCATCCGGGTTGGGCTTCCTCCGACGATAAATCCGATGCAGATGATGATGAATTTGACTACGATGGTGTAGTTTTTGAAGGGCCTGTGCCAGTAAATGAGAACATCAACAGTGTATGCATCGATAGCGAATATGAACACGATGAAGATGAACAAGATAGCATGCAGCTCCTAGCTGTTGTTGATGAGGTTTAATAGGCGTAGACTCTGCATGCTCACAGCCCAGGCTCAGCCTCCGTCGCTACTAAAGGACATTGAAATTAAAAAATATTGAATTATAGTTGTAAAACTTGACAAATCAACAATGGACAGCCGTGTTATACTGCCTTCTGTGAGGAATTTGTTTATGACTTCAGACTGACTATATGTCCTCGTTAGTTAATTTTGAGGAAGATGTGATTCTTCTTGGAAAGATCAGTTGCATATTTTGCAATGACCCATTTACGTCGTAAACGTTGCCACCAAAAGACCAAGCACTACGTCAATGGGGAATAGAGACTGTGCAACATTCAAGTTTCTTTACTGGTAAGTTCAAGTAACACGTAATTTTAACCATAAAATCAAGATAACATACATAAGGAAATACTAGGAGAACTGTACGCTGTTAAGAAATCTGCATGCTGTGATTGGTGACAGTTTTACTTTCAATCATCAAAATCATGTACTCCTACAATGACATTTTGTCAATATCAGTACATAAGTGTTCTGCCAAGTTTGATTTCAATCAAACAAGTGTAACCCTATCTTTGCCAAGGACTTATGCATGGAATGGGTTTTATCACATGCATTCACTCTCCAAACTGAATGCCGTTTTCTACATTTTTGTCTGGAATAATTAACGACATAATACAATCTTCAAATGAGTATAAATCGTAGACCGTTCAACATAATGCAACATGTTTGGCATCATTAAAGCTTACAGTCTCCCTTTTGTAGTGGTGTGGTATTGTATATAATTCAATTTATTTTTGGGTCACTTTGACACCTTTTGCTAGATCGGGTCATACATGATCACTCTATAGGGATCTCTTTCATTTGTATAGTTAGTTTTGTGGTAGACATTTATCATATGTATATATATATACATTATATTATATATATATTAAGAGCTAATAATACATTGTATACATATACAATACATAGTGTATTATTAGCTCTTGATACAAGTAATACATTTAGGCAACATTTCAGTCGCTAGGTGGCGCAAGCTGTTAGTATATGTCAGAACAGGCCCACCGTGAAAAGTCGTGTTCAGAGTCTGAGAACAATAATACATTGTATTATATTGTATGTACATTGTATATATTGTTCTCAGTTCAGTGTCAGTGGTTATAGTCATAGGTAGAGAGATCTATCCCTTTCTGTCTATGGCTCTGGTATATGTACATCTCAGTATGCTTTTGTAATCTTCCAGTAAACTCAGAAACCGCCCACACACCTGACTATGCCGTGATCAGTAAGTGAAACAGAAAACACGCGTGAAACTTTGTACACAACGTTGTACCGTTCGCACCAACTATATAGCTGATATGGTTAGGGTTAGGGTTAGGGTTAAGGTTAGGGTTAGGGTTAGTGTTAGGGTTAGGGTTAGGGTTAGGGAGTAGGCGTAGGCGACTCCCTAGACTCGTTAGAGGAGTAGGCGAGGTACGGTCCGGCATATTAGATAGTAGTATTTAGTACCAGGGTACGTTCCGGTATGCCGGACCGTACCCAGGGTACGTTCCGGCAGTACCCTGGGGGACATAGACCCTCTCAGCGCTACTTAACTGTCCGTGAATACCATGGTGTACATAAATTCAACAAGGGACCGATAATTACTAACCTTATCATTCCTAGAAGATGTTAACTATTTGTTATACACGCATGCGTATATAGATAAGCGTATCTGTGTTAAATGATAATAATTTAGCTATTAAGATCTCACATTACTGGTCAATATATTGAAGGAAAGAAAGAAAGATAGATAGCTAGATAGAGAGATAGAGAGAGAGAGAGAGAGAGAGAGAGAAAGAGAGAAAGAGAGACTGCGAGAAAGATAACCAGACAGAGATGGATGGATGGATAGATGTACAGACAGACAGACAGGCAGACATACATACAGACAGACAGACAGACAGACAGACAGACAGACACACAGACAGACAGACAGACACACAGACAGACAGACATACAGACAGACGGACAGACAGACATACAGACAGACAGACAGACAGACGGAGGAACGGACGGACGGACGGATTACTTAATAATTGTGTTTAATTCAGCCGACAAAGGTTAATAATCTGTAATCCAAAATTGCTGACGCGATGCCTGGATGCGTGATAGTATTAATTTTGCAGAACCTAAATAACGCCAAGTCTTTGATACAGTCAAGAATGCCTCATAACGGACATTGTAGACAGATTCCGAGTTAACAGGCCTGAGGAATGAATTAACAACTTATCTTCGTGTGAGTAGCTCTGAACAAGCAATGCAAGTAGGAATCGATATGTCAAGTTTAATAGTACAACAAAAGGAGCACATGGCAACGTAGTACGAAAAGAAAGTTCCGTTTGATAACCTTGGAAGACGTTCGTTTGTCAATGTCGGCAGCTTGCGATAACAGATCATGTTTACCAACGTCGTATAGGTGACACAAAATAGGATGAGGAAGGTTCATGGTCACTTTAAAAATAGCAGACACGAGTCTTCGGGTTGGATCGAGTTCTTATTTGGTATTCACAACGCCTCTGTATCTTCTTTCTAATGAGGATAGAATGAAGCGTAATTAATGGGATTATGTTGCTTGGTGTTTTCTCTGAACCATCGTTGTAACAATG